AATTCCAGAGGTGTGCGATCATGGACAAGCATCTACAGGTGAGCAAGTCGAAACGATGCTATCAAGGAGTGTCCCTCTTACTATGCCTTGCGCGTAGACTCTAGCACCAAAGCACCCGAATACATTATTCCTGCGGACCTCTGTCGATAACGCGCCTTTCTTGGTCAATCGTCTAGGTGTTAAGGTCTTACCTTGCGTGATTTCGTTCATCAATGGAAATGCGACAGACAGGTCGGTAGCCTTGGCGATCTTCCTGGGCAAAAACTTTTCCCTAACGTAAACACGATATACACGATTACTACAGGCTAATAGGATTCGAAGAACTCGGCAATGATGACAACTTTTCAACAGCTGCCTTAGAGTTCCGGCTGAAGCGATCAGGTCAGTTTCAGGGTTTCGTGACATCAGAACCAGGCTGATGGGTATTTGAGCATAGGTGTTCTGCCCCCTCCCGGTTACAGAAAGGTAACCAAGCTGGAGAAGTTGATTCCTGGTACATCTAAACCCAGGGTAGATGACAGCGACGAGGGATATGATTCGGCAGAGGAGCAGAGTAAGACAACTCAGCGCAGCAAAATTATCAGGAGTGTTAGGGATAATACCCGATCACGCCGTGGGAAAGAGCATGATGATAGTGATGACGGCTGGGATTAATTCTTGGACGGTATCGCTTGTGCAAAAATTCGTAATAGTGATCATAACGTTGTAATGAAGAAGACACTTCCTACATGTATAAGGTCAAATCCTCACTAGCTGATAACTCAGTACCTTGGAGACGGGGTTGGATGTGCAGGCGGAACATAGTAGCCTTGATGTCCATGGTAATTGGGACTCGAGTGATCGCTCGGTGGGATAAAACCCGACGGCCTATTATCTTCATATCCCCCTGACGCGTAGTCTTGAGGGTATGCCGGTCTGTTCCAGGACGATGCGGGATCAACAGGGATCCGTTGATCCGTATAATGAGAGGGTGCGACTAGTGGCGATGGGGATCGGATGAAAACAGGCGGCTGAGCAGGTGGTACTTCACCTACGCCCAAAGAACGCAAATAATTCCTGCCAGGTCTCGAATCTGGATCACTGGGCATCCAGGTTGAGGAGGTGTCGGCTGGAGGTGGAGGTGGAGGCGGATATGTATGCGACTGTTGATAATTCGTAACCTCTGGGTAGGAGTGGCTTGTCGGCAAAACATAATTCGGCTGCACATCAGTTCTCGATGGTGGAGCCGAATATTGCATGGAGTTTTCAGAATATCCAGCCGAAGCATCAGAAGTTGGAACTGGCCGGCTGTACGGTATATAGGCGGACACACTGGATGAGTTCGACAAGGCGGAGTTTGCTGACGTTGACGAAATGTGAAATGAGGACGTCACGGCTGATGGATAATGTGTCGAAGTAGTAGAATAGGGTCGCTCAGGAGGTTGCGGGAGCTGCTGGGTACCCATTGAAGAAGATGGCCGATTGTCGATCAGTGGGTATGTTGCTATATTTGTGGATGCGGGCCGCGCAAGGTCCTGCACGTAGCCGGAGCCGTATGTAGACACGGGAGCGGCGGGCTGGTATTGATTTTGATAAGATGGCAAGGCCAGTGGTGGGGCATATGGATATCCAACTGGTGCGGAGGAAAGTGGTCTAGGGGGTCCTGCCGGCCACACTGGCACAGGCGTAGACGTGCCTGTAGGCATTTCTACCGGTGGGGGAGGCGGTAGTGGCGGCAAGGCTGCAGCAACATCGTGCATATGTGGAAAGGACGAGGATGGGGGAATTGTAGCTGTATACGTGTTTGAAGAAGGTACAGGATATCCCGGGGTAGGACTGAAAGCCGATGGTTGGACGGCAGGCACTGGGTACGGGGTGTTAGTCGGAAGAGGTCCATGTTTGCTCGAATATGCCGGTGCGATAGGAGGACCCGGTGTCGATGGATGGTAGGGCACCGGGTCGTTCTGCCAAGTTCCGTGTTGAGGTATTGCCCCAGTTAAGGAATGACGGTGGGGATAAGAATCTGTCGACACTGGCCATCCGGTGGGTGGTACGATTTGTCCAGGCACTGCTGCAGATGCACCGGCTGAAGCGGTCTGAGTCGGGATCCGGGGATAATTGGCTGCACTGTTCCGCGTTGCATTTCTCCCTGGAAACGTCGGTGGAGGAACGTAGGCTCCGGACTTATAAGAACCCATTGATCCTGAGAAACTCTCGCGCCTTGGCGTGAAATCCGATAATGCAGACGCCGAACCGACAGGATATAGATTCGGGTCGGGAGGTCGGGATTCTAAGCTGCTATGGCGAGCAGGACCTTAGGGCAAAATACCAGGGTCAGATCTTTCGAGATGCTCTCTAGCAGTAAAATATCGAACCTACCAGGGGGAAGCGGACCTGTAGTACCATAATCCATCCAGCTTACGGGTTTCGGCACTTTTTTAGGTATCGGGGGCGCATCCTATCTCGAAGTACCTTTCAGCCAGATGCACTCTTTCAAGCAGGTTAAGAATACTGACGTTGATGAAATATGTCATTTCCAGGTAAATCTCTCCAGCAAACATGTCCTTGTATTTCAGTTCAAACATGTCTGCAAACGCAAAAGTGAGAGGCTGTCGTCTGAGGCCCAAGGGAGGCACGTACCATCATGTTCGCACTTTTCAAACACAACACTGAGATCCACCACTGTCTCTCCTACCAGCTTCGGCTCCTTGGGGTCATCCGCGAAGACAGTCACGACCATTGATTTGTTTTTGGGTATTCTCCGAGTTTTCTTGACTTTGGCAGAATCTCTATCACTACTTTCAGGCCTGTCCATAATATCTTCCGCATCTTCCGTTATCTTGAACCGGACTTCTGCGTCAAACGTAGGGTGTTGTCCACCTCTGTTTGAAGAGGTGAATTCCAGCTTAGCCTTTTCTCTATAGAAGTCAAATGTGAACTCACTTCTTGACCACTGGAGTTTTCGTCTTTGTGTTGCCATACTTTAACACCACATATGGATGATGCTTCCCAATCTTGCTGCGATCTGACAAATGTTGCTATAGCGATGATAACCCGTATCAGCCAAGATCCCTAAACACGGCCAGGACTCTGGCCACATGATGACTTACCGCTCGAATGACGACCACAGCAAGCTCCCCTAGTAATTTCGCATCCACAGGATCCGCCATGTTGGTCAGAAGGATCAGCTATGATCTCAGGGTTAACGGTTGTGAAAAGCCACTCGAATTTCAGGCCGTCTGGAGGTGTCACAATGCACCGTGTATGTAAATGCGGCGGAGACTTTGGGATGGCGTTGGCGTGAGGCTGGATACCATTCCAGCACAGCTCCCAGCTCATCTCTAGATCAGAATGAATGCTGCAAGCCACCATACTTGCTTCCGCAGCGTACAGTTCCCGGCCGCCGGTGATGTATTCCTCCTGTTTGTAGCTCTCTTCTGCTATCCCTCGACGAATTATCAGTCTATAGTAAACGTGAGCAGTACCGTCTCTGCGTACCGTCGGGAACTCGTTCCATTCAGTAGCCGTGCCAATACACCGTGAAGTGGCTCGATTCTCCAGCTGCAGCCGTTCTTGAAGATTTCCCTCGGAGCCTGTCAACCAGCATGTCGCATGTCATTGAAAGACTGGATCATCCCTCCAGTTACAAGGACAACCACGCACGAGTAGGTCCAACGCTTTACTATGTCCCCTGGGATGACGCTCGGCTAAATTTACTGCTCTCGTAGGAAAGTAGAGAAGAACGCGAGGCCAAGTTGGCAGATTCCAAAACACTCTATGTTGGCAATCTAAGTTTTTACACAACGGAAGCACAGATCTATGAATGTAGGTATCAGGTCCAATGAGGCGAGAGCTTTCTGGATTCATAATCCTGCTGTATCGGAGTGACTGACGATGATGCGACAGTATTCTCGCAATGCGCAGATCCAGCTTTAGGAGGAGGCATCAAGCGGTGGGTATTGACCGCCCATATAAATGACCGCTTTTATTCATAACTGCTTTCTTTACCTTCTAGTATAATCATGGGCCTCGACAGGAACACAAAGTCAGTTACGCCGTCAATCATCCAATGCGACCCTGCTAATAGAATATCACCCATACGTCTTCATAGAACGCCTTGTGGATTCGCTTTTGTCGAATACTATCTGCACTCCGAAGCTTTGACATCCATGCGATACATCTCAGGAACGAAGCTCGATGAACGTGTGATCCGCTGCGATTTAGATCCAGGTTATATAGAAGGCCGTCAGTTCGGTCGAGGCAAAAGTGGCGGACAGGTCCGGGACGAATACCGAGAAGAATATGACGGCGGACGAGGAGGTTGGGGACACGACGTGTTGAGGCGACAAACTCAGGCCGAGAAGCGACTACAAGGGCATTACGACACATATGCATCAGAAGCCGGTGGGTTGGGTATGGCAGGTGCAGACGTCCCTACTGGTGAAGGTTACGAGCGCGATAATCGCAAGCGTGGAAGAGACGATGAAGACGAGGGCGATGATAGAATAGTAAGTTTGTTCATGATAAAGTCCGATGATGGTGCTAATTAGCTATGTCTCTGGTCGTTACCTTACAGGCACCGCAATTACGTGGTGAGCGAGACGACGACGACGACGACGATGACGAATAGTGCCGGGTATCATGTTAGCCAAAGGTGGCAGGAGATGAAAGGCTGTATCGTAATCGAACCAGGGCTATGCGAAGATGCTCTTTGAGGATGTTATCTCACATGTGTAAACCGGAGCGGAGGATGCTGCATGTAACAGGTTGGACCCAGCTCCAACCAGTTTTGGTGTAGAGCCATCCCACAAGCCCTGCTGAGAGGTACCGAATTCGGCATACGAACGACCTGAAGCATATGTAGAGGTCGTGTTCCAAGTGCCTAAAAACATAGGCACCAAAGACCAGTGTGCTCAGAACCTCCCCCTTTGAATACAGAATGATGGATCAAAGAACTTCCAAAGTCTGAGTTCAAGACGTGTACAGTCGCAACCAAAACTGTTCCTGAGCAGGCAAAAACTATGCCTCGCGGGGATTCGAACCCCGGTTATTCGGATGTGAGCTTCGAAGTCAAAACCGAAGGTGCTAACCACTACACTACGTGGCAAGACGATGACACTTTCCTTGAAGATAGAATATCTTCCTACTGCAATTCAGCCGTCCGATCGTTTGGTTGTCGAACAATGGTGGTTTGTTTCGCTGAACGCCGTCGACGTGATTGCATTGTCTTTGCTGCTGTCCCTGAGCAAATCCACCATTACACCTGTAAATCTAAACGTATCCTGGACTACTCACCTGTCACTAAGCGGTTGAAATCGACTATTCGAGTACCACCGCATCATATTTCCAACTTTATCAAGCAGCTCTATCATCCGGCAGTTTAATGCAAAAGCGCCCTCACGTATAATCGATCTGTTCACAGGCATGGTCAGTCGATCAAACATTTCAGAGAGCCATGTACCTGGCAGAAGAGATCAGGCTGACCTGTTATGTTCGTGATGACAGTCCGATCAAGATGCATACATCCCGTATGGTGACCGACCTGAATGGAATGATGTACAGCCGCTTCCTCAGCAAGATGCGCGAGACGGATTAGTGCCCATTGCGTATTCTAGAGAATGTAAGTATGCTGGTCCTAGAGAGGAAATAGCAGCAATTGACTTGAGGTGTTACTCCACAAGATTCCGATGCCATGGACTACTTCCGTGCGATAGCTGCAGCTCAGGAGTATTCTGAACGGGTACTGGATCTCACCGAACACATCATCCGTCGAAATCCTGCTCATTACACAGCGTGGTAGGTTCAGTGATAACGGGAAATCTGCGGTTGGTCTGATGTAACATCCACTGATCGTTTCTTGCAATCATAGGCAATACAGAATGAATACCTTGTTGGCACTGCATAAGGATTTGGGGAAGGAGCTTCAACTTATGAACGAATTCGCGGAGGAGAATTTGAAAAGCTATCAAGTTTGGTAGGTTCTACACAACGCATTAATTGCCTTATCCGCTTAAATCCCTTTCCTCTCACACAGGCATCACCGTCTCACCCTCATTACCCAGATGGAACCAGAATTACCCGACCTGATGAAGGAAATCGACTTCATTCACGACTCACTTATGCCTGACCCGAAGAATTATCACACCTGGGCCTACCTCAATTGGCTATACTCGACCTTTTCGAACTTACCAGATGCTCGAGGGGGAGATCGTTTCTCAGATATGTCCTGGAAGGCTGAATTGGAATGGTGTGAACGGATGCTCAACAGCAACTACAGATTTATCCGCTCGAAAACACCAGAGATCCATTCAACGGGGATCGTTACCGGGAAAATCCAAGCGTTATCGAGCGATGACGAGAACGAAGGAGAAGTGATCGGCCGAGGAGATGGTCGAAACAATTCCGCTTGGAGCTGGAGATGGTATCTTATGATATCAAGAAAAGGTGCCAAGCCAGACACTGAAACTGAATTGGAGTGAGTTCTCAGCTTGGCGGAAAACCCAGGCAAGTGTGTATGGTAACGTATGGTTTCTCGACAGATATGGGTTGTCGCAAATCCGTGCGATCCCGCACAACGCTTCCGCCTGGAATTACTTGCGCGGGTAAGTCTCGTTCCTCAACTCTCCCCCCGGGGTTTCCCGACTCTGATCACTTTTAATGTGTAGGATTCATAAACATTTCAAGATTCCACTTTCCCAATCTCTTCCAGCTATTCTGAAATTCAGCACGATTCCAGCGCCATCTATTATCTCGTCCATTCCCCGAAATTCTCCACAAATCGTGACTTCTGCGAATCCCGATTCCCCCCTGCCAGTCCCGTTTGCCATAGAGTGGCTGGCGGATTGCACAGCCGAACAGGCCGCAGCCACAGGAAGTAGTGATACTTACAGGGAGGCAGCAGGACTTTATCACGAATTAGCTGAACGATGGGATGTAATGCGGAAAACGTGGGCTTATCCTTCTCTATATCGGTTACAAACCACTAATGCAATATCTGTTTTCATCTCGGTAGTTACTGGAGATTCAGGCGATCGGAGGTTCTTCGTCAGATACCGGTCTCACAAAAGATGGACTCTGCCGCGACAGAGTAGATGTTGAGCATCTGGGGCTGGTCTGGGAAGGGCTAAACTGGTGTAACCTCAATGAACAGGTATGGTCATCCATCCTGCTCCAACTGTAGGGCACATATATATTGCGCCTTGCTTCCCATTCTGGGCGAGCACAACTACCTTGTCACCGAGGAATGTGCGTCCCCATTACCCCTGTGTGTCAGCATGCTTGCGTATTCGAGTTGCGTCGTAATGCCCATCTCTGTGCTCCCTCAATCCCCATCACTACTTGTAGACAGATGCGATTGTGGTGGTAGGGTGATAGGAGCGATCGTTGACGACTTCAGGGCCGTGCGCTACGTCGCAAACGATCATGACTGGCTCAAGCCCGACATCTCCGTTGTCCGTGTTCCTCATTTGCTGGTGCATAGCTACCTGCCTTGCTGCTTCAAATAGAGGTCGGACACGGTCAAGCTCCATTCCGTTTCAACTGCCGTATCAAAAGGTGTCTCACAAACAGCCTTGGAAAAATGGCGGCAGTTCTCAAGGTATGATGCACTCAGCATTGCCAGCAAGGGCAAGCGTCTTGTTAAATTGAGATCCGCATCTCCAGAACCAGAATCAGGATCCTTCCGGTAGAACGGCTTCCATGATGACGAGAAAGCAGGTCCTTCTAGCAGAAATTTCGGATATGGAGAAGCAGCTTGAGTAGGGAGATTTCGCGAATTGCTGCCATTTACCATCTTGAACCAGGTCACTCATCCTGGCTTTCATATTAGGGGGATTGACGCCGCGAAAATGGTCCAGGACCACATTGAGCTCCTGCATACGTACAACGAAATCAAGTGAGTTCTGCGGGCATGGCTCGTCGTGAGGTGAGGCAAACTATTTCCAGGATGAAAAAGCTCATGTCTGTTTGTAATACGTCACTCGCAGGGATGCAGCGCAGGCTCTCATAGGTCGTGTTAGTGGGTTTATGCAGACACTGCGGTCACTTGGACTGATTAATACGACAATCTGTTGCACCTTGAATGATTGCGCTATCCACCTACATCCACTTCTGCAAACACCATCGCCATGCACTTACACGCGAACGAAATGAACACCTGTCGTCGCCCTTACCTGCCGGGATTCCACGTTGGACAGTATGCGTTGCTGACAGGAACGACCGTGACGGACGTTCACGAAAGGCTGGGATTGAGCTTGACTGAATAGGCAGGCCACGGAGGGTTAGGAAACCGATCCGATCCGCACATCTCGGCGCTGGACCCACAAAGCAACCCGTAGAACTGTTTCTCCATACGATGTAGACCTTACAGGCAGCATGCGGTAGTCATCATGTCGATTCGCAGAGCAATGAATGACCTATTATCAGAAAGTAACCGAAATGAGCTAATAAAAGACCTCGAAGCCGTCGGCCAGCTGCGATGCCCTAAAGTCACGAAAGTCGTCATGTGGGCGGTATCCAGCATCATGCATTCCGCTCAGACTACGCTGCTATATATGCTAGCCAGGTGTCACATCGACCTCGAGCGGCGCCGTTCTCACCAGCCGCATTCTGTCTCCCACCATGTCGACGGTCTATAAAAGAGGGCCGATACACCTCGGTCATTCCTTGGACCAACAGAAAGAGGTTGATGTCGAGTCTCTTCCGATTCCCATCACTACCAAAGACCACCCCGTCAAGGCTCGTTGGAATTCTCCCCTGCGTCTTTCCGGGCTTGCACTCACTCTTCTGATCATTGGATATCTCACACACGTCCCTTACTTCCCTCACCATGGACCAGGTGCCAAGCCCCCGATCTCTGATGTCGTCAAACGAGGCCTTCTCAAGTGCGAAGCGATAAAGCTGATGCCTCCAGACACAACCAACTTCCGGGTCAACAGGACCATTAGTGATCGTTTCGAATCCAAGAATGCCAAGCCGGTCCTGCTCAAAAATGCAACTGTCTGGACTGGTCAAGATGCTGGGGAAGAGGTGTTGTATGGCGCTTCGGTGTATCTGCGAGGCGGTGTGGTAGTATCGGTGGGAGCAGAAAACGATGTTCGAGCTCTCCTGCACGGCGATGTCGAGGAAATCGACGTTGAAGGTCGATGGATCACGCCCGGTATCGTGGACATGTAGGTCCCTGATTCCTTTGATGCGTGCCTAATTTAGCTTTTAGCTCACTTTCTGGCTGTTCTCATAAGGCATTCTCACGCAGGTGTTGACGCCTCCCCTAGTCTTCGAGGATCAGACGATACCAATTCGGTCGCTGCAGATGTCAACCCTTATTTGATGTCTATCAATGGATTCAACACCCACGATGCGGCGGCAGAGTGGATCATCTCTGGCGGTGTAACTACCAATCTTATTCTGCCTGGCAGCGCCACCTCGATGGGTGGACAAGCCTTCGTAGTCAAACTTCGGAAGACAGAGATCGATAGCCCAGCAGCTCTTATGGTAGAGCCACCTTTCGTCTACGATGGAACCGCCAATCAGTCTTTCGTTCGGACTGGCCACAAACGATATGTCAAGACCGCTTTCGGGTAAGTCGGTTCAGGCTTTGGCTTGGCTTGAAGTCGCTCCGGGTTGCTGAAGTCCTGGCCTACTATTCTCAAGGGAGAATCCCAGCAGAGTATTTTCGCAGACTCGACTCGACTCGCTCTGGCATCTACGTCAAAAATTTCAGGAAGCTTCGGATTTGAAGCAAGCTCAAGACGATTGGTGCGCCAAAGGCGCGGAAAATACAGATCAATTCCCCGACGATATTGCCCAGGAACTCCTTGTAGATATCTTAAGAGGCAAGGTGAACGTGTATGTGATCCAACTACAGACCGTCAGTTCTTTTCTCTAACACCTACCTAATCTACAGCAATTCGCATTCGTACGAGACCGTGGATTACAACAACCTTGCACAGCTTACGAATCAGTTCAAGTTTCACATCAGCACTATTCACCATGCTCATGAGGCTTATCTCACTATACCTCGCCTAAAGCAGTTCTATGGAGGACCACCTGCGGCAGCTATCTTTGCTACCAACGCACGATACAAGCTGGAGTCTTTCCGGGGTAGTG